CATTTATTACAGAAACCGAATCTGGAGCAAGTAGAAGTGAGGTCGCTACGCCAGATGGCGTGGTGACTGGAATAAAAAACCTGATAATGCATATATAGCGTTCACCTCCCAAATTCAAAAAGTGGTTTTTGTAGTTGAAACTAGCAACTTCGCTTGTATCATTGTACAATTACTATATCTAGTGCAGGAGATCTTAAAAATCTCTCTGTGACTCCAGCCGTGTTATGTAAAGCATGTAGTCTCTTTCGATTCAGACTGAAAAGTGAAATCTGTATCAGTCCAAATTACAACTCTAAACGACATGCATGAACAAGTTGGAGATCGATCAGTTTTCAACAAAATTCTCTTTGTCCTTAGTTCGACCAGTTGTGCAGTTCACCGCTGATCATCCTAAAAACATCACCTTAGAAGAAGGATCAACCGCAATCTTCACTTGTAAAACAATCGGAAACCCGCCTACGCATACCCACAAGTGGCAGTTCAATGGAAAGGACTTTGCACGGGAAAGCCGCAGAGAATGCTCAACAACAACATACACAGTGACGTCTGTGTCCCTGTCAGATGCTGGATGGTATTCCTGTAATGGAACTAATAGTGTAGGAGAAGGAACTCCTGCTAGAGCACAGTTATTAATAAAATGTGAGTAATTAGATATAAATAACACACGAATAAATTGTGATGTCTCACTCAGAGGAAGGAGATTGAAGCATTTTGGTGGCTGTTTTCTTTATTACTTCAGAACTCGTTTTTACAGGCCTCTCTTTACCAGGACATATTATTTTTTGTCTTATTTTGGGGCTAAAACTAGATCTCCAGAATGGGGAATACGAAGTAATTTTTCAATTTTTCAGTCAGACCGGTAGAGGTCATACACCAGCCTTGACTAAAATGAAGAAACCAGGTAATATAGTAATATTCGAGTTTTGCTTTTCAATTATTGAATTAACTAACAGGCCTGTATCTTATCGGTATATTATCTTTAATGTCTCCAGTATCCAGTTCTTGAAATAAACATCACGTGTACAATTCAGCTTCTTCCTATTTGCAGATATTAAACAGCTGACATTGCTCTCGTTCTTCAGTCGTTTTTCGTATACACAATATTTATAGATTATTTGATTGTTGTTTTTCTAGCTACATTTCCAGTGTCATCAATACCACCAACCACAGGATTTGGTATGTTCTGTGATTCATTTATATATTTTAAGCGATCAAGTCTTTCCCACCCCCTCCCCTCAAAGCAAATCGGGGAGGGAGCGGATGTTCTTCAGGCTAGTTTTTGCCGTTTTGAGTTATTAACTGAAATCACAGTAACGAAAATCCCACATCGATACCAACGGATAAACATACAGAAAAAAAAAATGGCCCAGGGACAAATTGCTTCTGGATGTACTTTATCATATTGCTTACGAAGGTTACAGTATTTTGTCCGAATTATCCATGTTTATAGCTTTTATTCAGTGACAGTACTGAACATTTTAAGGTTTTTATGTTATCATGCCTGACTGTATATGCTATCTTTAATGTTGGTGAAAGGAGGAATCCAGTGGCTTATGAGTGGCAGCACTAGGGGAAGGTCCACCTTCCCTATGGTTTATTTGTATTATTTATCCGTATGAGAAATAGGGTTGTAAGTTGGTAGCTGAAACAGCGGATAGGGTAAACATCTTTTTCAGTTTATGTTAACAGATAGCCAGTAATTTCAGTTGGCTTTTTAAACCGACGAAGACTGAAGTTGCTCGGTCGAAACGTATTTGTATAAGTAGTTATAACGTTTTAGCGTTTTAGTAGAGTTTGTCACAAACATAACATCGAGTGAAAGTGATTATCAACGATTATTATAACGTCGATTGTACACTACTTATTACACCACATGTTTTCAGGAAAAAAAAAATATATATATATATACATATATATATATATTTCTGCGT